GGCAGGGCGCACGGCGGGGCCAGCGGCGCCCACGGCTGTGACTGTTCGCTTGGCCGCCCCGTCGACCACGCGCTGAGACCCGACGCCCATCGCCTTTGCGAGAACTCCGCGTCCACATGCCGTGGCTGCCGCAGGACTCACGGGCTCTGTGCTGGCTCCAGAGAGGAAAGAGAGGAAGCAGAGAAGGAAGAAACCCATGTCCAGATGAGTGGGAGTCATCTAAGAGCTCGTTAGTGGGAGGCCCCCGACACGGAGGAAGGGTCTCCTGGCCTCACGGTCCCGCCTCTGCCCCTGGGAGGGGACGCCCATGGACTTCAGACACTACGGACACCCCTCTCTGCTCTCCTCACGCTGCCTTTTCCAAAGGAAAGGTTACCCTGCATCGCGAAGCTGCGGACAGTTTTTTCCGACAGGCTTTAGGCCTCAAATTGCACCATCTAGTGTTATAAAAGGAAATCCCATGACACAGGCCAAATCTTTGATCAAAAAAGTCTTTAGTCAGCCTTATATTTTATATAAAAAAGAGATGACAGGCTAATTCTAAAGTCACCTTCATGAAACATTAGAAGGTATCCATTTTTATTTATTTTACTTTTTTATTACAATTTACATTCAATATTATTTTCTTTCCATTTCAGGTGTATGGCATAGTGGTTAGACAATAATATCCTTTACAAAGTGAGCCCCTGATATTTCAGTTACCCACCTGGCACAAAGGTATTCATTTTTATTTTATTATTATTATTTTTAGGGTATTCATTTTTAAATTGTGATTTTATTATCTTCAAGCCTGCTTTTCGTGGTGATTGCCTCAAAGTACAACAACAAATTTTAAATAAGACATATAACTTAAACTGTTAGCATTGTAACATATTTTAAAACTTCAGTAATACAGAGATTTTTCTGAAGATAAGCTCAAAACAATGCCCACCTGTTACCTTACACAAGCTTCTCGAAATGGAGCATCTATTATTAGCCCCATTTTACTGATGATGTAATTGAGACTTAGATAACATCACTATGGGTACATAGAAAAGCCAGCCTATAATTTATTTCTTCTGACCTGATTCCAGTGTTTTTTGTTTTTTTTTTAAATCATTGTTTCTTTAAAATATACCTTTGAAGATTTTCTCCTACTATGGTCATTGTTTCGAGAAAAATGAAAATGTGCAGTTTGCAGTCAAGTTACCTTAGCTGCTTTTACTTGTAATAATGAGGTATTGGGGAGTTTAACTATAATTTAACAGGAACAAAGCTGTTTTAGTTTGTTTTAAGGACAAGTAGAAAATACAATTATACCTCTCTCTGGTCTAAGGTTTAAAAAACACCTCCTTAGAAACATAAAAATATTTTTCATGGTTTCTAAACATATTTCTGATAAAGTTTGAATATTAGGAGAAGCTAATTAGAGAGAAACTTGATCATTAAAATCAAAACAATCATAAAGGTTAGGCTTGACATGAACTAGTATAATTTTGCCTTTTAAAAGCAATTTAAACACAAGGAGCTCTGATTCCCATCAGATTCAGAGCAATAGTCTAAGCAAATCGAGTGTAGTAGAGATGAAAAGAGTTCTCAGCCTGCTCAGCCACATTCCCTCTGTGTGACCCTGGGAAAGTCAGTTAGCCGGCTGAATCTGTTTCCTTACCAATCAGATGAGGCCTTTTTCAGCTGAATTTCCCCTGAATTTCAGGTATTGCTTTCTCTAGCTAAAATCTGGACACTGACCTATGATTATAAACAGCTGAGTGTCCTGGCTGTAGCTTCCAAAGTCTCCTCCAAAGTATTCATACTTCCTAGTTACTGATAGTGGTAGCAACTACTCAGCCTAGTACAGGCTCTGTTCATCAAAGCTGGGAAGCTTCTTACTGTCAGGCCAATGTCGTTTTGATGGTCATTCTGAGGGCCATAGAGGGACTTTTTAATTTTTTGGTATAAACATCACGTCATTCATTGGTATTGTCACAGTAGGGATGAAATTTTAAAATAGAGAAAAACACAATATAAAATATATTTAAAATATAAAAATACTTTAAAATTTTGAAATTCTGATCTTTAGATTAAAAAATCAGAACCCAATATATATGATTTTTTTTTTTTTTGGGGGTGAG